AAAGTCATGTAGAATTAGAATAAAATAATAAATTGATAAAATTAAATAACACATTAATATTCTCACGACGTTTCGGCCACAACACAAGCGGCCTTCATCAGGTGAAGGGACGAGACTGTCTGGAGGACAGCGCTGGAGTGAATGGGGCTCGTGCGTCGTGACGTCATCACGCAGGGTAGCTGCTGTTTGAGAGAATGGGGCTCGTGCGTCGTGACGTCATCACGCAGGGTAGCCGCCGTTTGTGAATGGGGCTCGTGCGTCGTGACGTCATCACGCAGGGTAGCCGCGGTTTGTGAGAGTGGGGAACGTGCGTCGTGACGTCATCACACAGGGGAGCCGCCATTTGTGAGAATGGGGCACGTGCATCGTGACGTCATCACGCAGGGTATCCGCTGTTTTAGAGAATGGGGCTCGTGCGTCGTGACGTCATCACGCAGGGTAGCCGCGGTTTGAGAGAATGGGGCTCATCTTCTTTGGTTCTTTCGGTAAAGTCACGTAGAATGAGAATAAAATAATAAATTGATAAAATAAAATAACACATTAATATTCTCACGACGTTTCGGCCACAACACAAGCGGCCTTCATCAGGTGAAGGGACGAGACTGTCTGGAGGACAGCGCTGGAGTGAATGGGGCTCGTGCGTCGTGACGTCATCACGCAGGGTAGCCGCGGTTTGTGAGAGTGGGGCTCGTGCGTCGTGACGTAATCAGGCAGGGTAGCCGCGGTTTGTGAATGGGGCTCGTGCGTCGTGACGTCATCACGCAGGGTAGCCGCGGTTTGTGAGTGGGGCACGTGCGTCGTGACGTCATCACGCAGGGTAGCCGCGGTTTGTGAGAGTGGGGCACGTGCGTCCTGACGTCATCACGCAGGGTAGCCGCGGTTTGTGAGAGTGGGGCTCGTGCGTCGTGACGTCATCACGCAGGGTAGCCGCGGTTTGTGATTGGGGCTCGTACGTCGTGACGTAATCACGCAGGGTAGCCGCGGTTTGTGAGAGTGGGGCACGTGCGTCGTGACGTCATCACGCAGGGTAGCTGCTGTTTGAGAGAATGGGGCTCGTGCGTCGTGACGTCATCACGCAGGGGTAGCGCGGTTTGTGAGAGTGGGGCTCGTGCGTCGTGACGTCATATCGCAGGGCAGCCGCGGTTTGTGAGAATGGGGCTCGTGCGTCGTGACGTCATCACGCAGGATAGCCGTGGTTTGTGAAAGTGGAGCTTGTGCATCGTGACGTCATCACACAGGGGAGCCGCCATTTGTGAGAATGGGGCACGTGCGTCGTGACGTCATCACGCAGGGTATCCGCTGTTTTAGAGAATGGGGCTCGTGCGTCGTGACGTCATCACGCAGGGTAGCCGCGGTTTGAGAGAATGGGGCTCATCTTCTTTGGTTCTTTCGGTAAAGTCACGTAGAATGAGAATAAAATAATAAATTGATAAAATAAGATAACACATTAATATTCTCACGACGTTTCGGCCACAACACAAGCGGCCTTCATCAGGTGAAGGGACGAGACTGTCTGGAGGACAGCGCTGGAGTGAATGGGGCTCGTGCGTCGTGACGTCATCACGCAGGGTAGCCGCGGTTTGTGAGAGTGGGGCTCGTGCGTCGTGACGTAATCAGGCAGGGTAGCCGCGGTTTGTGAATGGGGCTCGTGCGTCGTGACGTCATCACGCAGGGTAGCCGCGGTTTGGGAATGGGGCTCGTGCGTCGTGACGTCATCACGCAGGGTAGCTGCGGTTTGTGAGTGGGGCTCGTACGTCGTGACGTAATCACCCAGGGTAGCCGCGGTTTGTGAGAGTGGGGCACGTGCGTCCTGACGTCATCACGCAGGGTAGCCGCGGTTTGTGAATGGGGCTCATGCGTCGTGACGTCATCACGCAGGGTAGCCGCGGTTTGTGAGTGGGGCCCGTGCGGCGTGACGTCATCACGCAGGGTTGCCGCGGTTTGTGAGAGTGGGCTTGTGCGTCGTGACGTAATCACGCAGGGTAGCCGTGGTTTGTGAAAGTGGGGCTTGTGCGTCGTGACGTCATCACGCAGGGTAGCCGCGGTTTGAGAGAATGGGGCACGTGCGTCGTGACGTAATCACGCAGGGTAGCCGCTGTTTGTGAATGGGGCTCGTGCGTCGTGACGTCATCACGCAGGGTAGCCGCGGTTTGTGAGTGGGGCCCGTGCGTCGTGACGTCATCACGCAGGGTAGCCGCGGTTTGAGAGAATGGGGCTCATCTTCTTTGGTTCTTTCGGTAAAGTCATGTAGAATTAGAATAAAATAATAAATTGATAAAATTAAATAACACATTAATATTCTCACGACGTTTCGGCCACAACACAAGCGGCCTTCATCAGGTGAAGGGACGAGACTGTCTGGAGGACAGCGCTGGAGTCAATGGGGCTCGTGCGTCGTGACGTCATCACGCAGGGTAGCTGCTGTTTGAGAGAATGGGGCTCGTGCGTCGTGACGTCATCACGCAGGGTAGCCGCCGTTTGTGAATGGGGCTCGTGAGTCGTGACGTCATCACGCAGGGTAGCCGCGGTTTGTGAGTGGGGCTCGTACGTCGTGACGTAATCACGCAGGGTAGCCGCGGTTTGTGAGAGTGGGGCACGTGCGTCGTGACGTCATCACACAGGGGAGCCGCCATTTGTGAGAATGGGGCACGTGCGTCGTGACGTCATCACGCAGGGTAGCCGCGGTTTGAGAGAATGGGGCTCATCTTCTTTGGTTCTTTCGGTAAAGTCACGTAGAATGAGAATAAAATAATAAATTGATAAAATAAAATAACACATTAATATTCTCACGACGTTTCGGCCACAACACAAGCGGCCTTCATCAGGTGAAGGGACGAGACTGTCTGGAGGACAGCGCTGGAGTGAATGGGGCTCGTGCGTCGTGACGTCATCACGCAGGGTAGCCGCGGTTTGTGAGAGTGGGGCTCGTGCGTCGTGACGTAATCAGGCAGGGTAGCCGCGGTTTGTGAGTGGGGCACGTGCGTCGTGACGTCATCACGCAGGGTAGCCGCGGTTTGGGAATGGGGCTCGTGCGTCGTGACGTCATCACGCAGGGTAGCTGCGGTTTGTGAGTGGGGCTCGTACGTCGTGACGTAATCACCCAGGGTAGCCGCGGTTTGTGAGAGTGGGGCACGTGCGTCCTGACGTCATCACGCAGGGTAGCCGCGGTTTGTGAGAGTGGGGCTCGTGCGTCGTGACGTCATCACGCAGGGTAGCCGCGGTTTGTGAATGGGGCCCGTGCGTCGTGACGTCATCACGCAGGGTAGCCGCGGTTTGGGAATGGGGCTCGTGCGTCGTGACGTCATCACGCACGGTAGCCGCGGTTTGAGAGAATGGGGCTCATCTTCTTTGGTTCTTTCGGTAAAGTCACGTAGAATGAGAATAAAATAATAAATTGATAAAATAAAATAACACATTAATATTCTCACGACGTTTCGGCCACAACACAAGCGGCCTTCATCAGGTGAAGGGACGAAACTGTCTGGAGGACAGCGCTGGAGTGAATGGGGCTCGTGCGTCGTGACGTCATCACGCAGGGTAGCTGCTGTTTGAGAGAATGGGGCTCGTGCGTCGTGACGTCATCACGCAGGGTAGCCGCCGTTTGTGAATGGGGCTCGTGCGTCGTGACGTCATCACGCAGGGTAGCCGCGGTTTGTGAGTGGGGCTCGTACGTCGTGACGTAATCACGCAGGGTAGCCGCGGTTTGTGAGAGTGGGGCACGTGCGTCGTGACGTCATCACGCAGGGTAGCTGCTGTTTGAGAGAATGGGGCTCGTGCGTCGTGACGTCTTCACGCAGGGTAGCCCCGGTTTGTGAGAGTGGGGCTCGTGCGTCGTGACGTCATCACGCAGGGTAGCCGCGGTTTGTGAGAATGGGGCTCGTGCGTCGTGACGTCATCACGCAGGGTAGCTGCTGTTTGAGAGAATGGGGCTCGTGCGTCGTGACGTCATCACGCAGGGTAGCCGCGGTTTGTGAGAGTGGGGCTCGTGCGTCGTGACGTCATCACGCAGGGTAGCCGCGGTTTGTGAGAATGGGGCTCGTGCGTCGTGACGTCATCACGCACGGTAGCCGCGGTTTGAGAGAATGGGGCTCATCTTCTTTGGTTCTTTCGGTAAAGTCACGTAGAATGAGAATAAAATAATAAATTGATAAAATAAAATAACACATTAATATTCTCACGACGTTTCGGCCACAACACAAGCGGCCTTCATCAGGTGAAGGGACGAGACTGTCTGGAGGACAGCGCTGGAGTGAATGGGGCTCGTGCGTCGTGACGTCATCACGCAAGGTAGCTGCTGTTTGAGAGAATGGGGCTCGTGCGTCGTGACGTCATCACGCAGGGTAGCCGCGGTTTGTGAGAGTGGGGCTCGTGCGTCGTGACGTCATCACGCAGGGTAGCCGCGATTTGTGAGCGTGGGGCTCGTGCGTCGTGACGTAATCACGCAGGGTAGCCGCGGTTTGTGAGAGTGGGGCTCGTGCGTCGTGACGTAATCAGGCAGGGTAGCCGCGGTTTGTGAATGGGGCTCGTGCGTCGTGACGTCATCACGCAGGGTAGCCGCGGTTTGTGAGAGTGGGGCACGTGCGTCGTGACGTCATCATGCAGGGTAGCCGCGGTTTGGGAATGGGGCTCGTGTGTCGTGACGTCATCACGCAGGGTAGCCGCTGTTTGTGAGTGGGGCTCGTACGTCGTGACGTAATCACGCAGGGTAGCCGCGGTTTGTGAGAATGGGGCTCGTGCGTCGTGACGTCATCACGCAGGGTAGCCGCGGTTTGTGAGAATGGGGCTCGTGCGCCGTGACGTAATCACGCAGGGTAGTGGCGGTTTGTGAGTGGGGCGCGTGCGTCGTGACGTCATGACGCAGGGTAGCCGCGGTTCATGAGAATGGGGGTCGTGCGTCGTGACGTCATGACGCAGGGTAGCTGCGGTTCATGAGAATGGGGCTCGTGCGTCGTGACGTCATCACGCTGGGGTAGCCGCGATTTGTGAGAATGGGGGCACGTGCGTCGTGACGTAATCACGCGGGGTAGCCGCGGTTTGTTAGAATGGGGGTCGTGCGTGCTGACGTCATCACGCAGTGCGTCAACTTCTTCGTGACGTCATCGCGCACGGTTCCGTCGCCCCCCTGCCGGGCTTGAGCGACGGCGAAGATGAAGCTCGTGAACAAAATCCTGGACAAGGACTCGGGGTGAGGGGGGGTGGTGGTGGGGGGGTGAGGTGAGGGGGGTGGGGGGGTGAGGTGAGGGGGGGTGGGGGGGTGAGGGGTGGGGGGGTGGGGGGGTGAGGGGGTGGGGGGGTGAGGGGGTGAGGGGGTGGGGGGGTGAGGGGTGGGGGGGTGAGTGAGGGAGGTGAGGAGGTGAGGGGGTGAGGGGTGAGTGAGGGGGTGAGGGGTGGGGTGAGTGAGGGGGTGAGTGAGGGGTGGGGTGATGGGTGGGTGAGGGGTGGGGGGTGAGTGAGTGAGGTGAGGGGGTGAGTGAGGGGGGTGAGGTGAGGGGGTGAGTGAGTGAGGAGGATCACCACTGTACCAAGCGAGTGCGTGTACAGTAGAGCACAGTGTGGTACCGGAACGGCGGCTGTCAGGGGGGCAGGGCACAGTGCGTGCACTGTACTACAGTGCGCGCGCGCACTGTAGTACAGTGTGCACAGTGCACTAGTGTACTGTGTGATGTGTACTGTGTGTACTGTGTGTGTGTACTGTGTGTACTGTGTGTGTACTGTGTGTGTGTACTGTGTGTGTGCTATGTACTGTGTGTGTACTGTGTGTACTGTGTGATGTGTACTGTGTGATGTGTACTGTGTGTGTACTGTGTGATGTGTACTGTGTGTACTGTGTGATGTGTACTGTGTGATGTGTACTGTGTGTGTACTGTGTGATGTGTACTGTGTGATGTGTACTGTGTGTGTGTGTACTGTGTGTGTGTACTGTGTGTGTACTGTGTGTGTGTACTGTGTGTGTGTACTGTGTGTGTACTGTGTGTGTGTACTGTGTGATGTGTACTGTGTGTGTACTGTGTGTGTGTGTACTATGTACTGTGTGTGTACTGTGTGATGTGTACTGTGTGTGTGTACTGTGTGTGTACTGTGTGATGTGTACTGTGTGTGTGTACTGTGTGTGTACTGTGTGATGTGTACTGTGTGTGTACTGTGTGATGTGTACTGTGTGTGTACTGTGTGTGTGTACTGTGTGTGTACTGTGTGTGTGTGTACTGTGTGATGTGTACTGTGTGTGTGTACTGTGTGTGTACTGTGTGATGTGTACTGTGTGATGTGTACTGTGTGTGTGTACTGTGTGATGTGTACTGTGTGTGTGTACTGTGTGTGTACTGTGTGTGTGTACTATGTACTGTGTGTGTACTGTGTGTGTGTACTGTGTGTGTGTACTGTGTGTGTACTGTGTGTGTACTGTGTGTGTGTACTGTGTGTGTACTGTGTGTGTGTACTATGTACTGTGTGTGTGTACTATGTACTGTGTGTGTACTGTGTGATGTGTACTGTGTGTGTGTACTGTGTGTGTACTGTGTGTGTGTACTGTGTGTGTACTGTGTGTGTGTACTGTGTGTGTGTACTGTGTGTGTGTAATGTGTACTGTGTGTGTACTGTGTGATGTGTACTGTGTGTGTGTACTGTGTGTGTGTACTGTGTGTGTACTGTGTGTGTGTACTGTGTGTGTACTGTGTGTGTGTACTGTGTGATGTGTACTGTGTGTGTACTGTGTGTGTGTACTGTGTGATGTGTACTGTGTGTGTACTGTGTGTGTGTACTATGTACTGTGTGTGTACTGTGTGATGTGTACTGTGTGTGTGTACTGTGTGTGTACTGTGTGTGTGTACTGTGTGTGTGTACTGTGTGTGTACTGTGTGTGTGTACTGTGTGTGTACTGTGTGTGTGTACTGTGTGTGTGTACTGTGTGTGTACTGTGTGTGTACTGTGTGTGTGTACTGTGTGTGTACTGTGTGTGTGTACTGTGTGTGTACTGTGTGTGTGTACTGTGTGTGTACTGTGTGTGTACTGTGTGTGTACTGTGTGTGTGTACTATGTGTGTGTACTGTGTGTGTGTACTGTGTGTGTGTGTGTACTGTGTGTGTGTACTGTGTGTGTACTGTGTGTGTGTACTGTGTGTGTGATGTGTGTGTACTGTGTGTGTACTGTGTGTGTGTACTGTGTGTGTACTGTGTGTGTGTACTGTGTGTGTACTGTGTGTGTACTGTGTGTGTGTACTATGTGTGTGTACTGTGTGTGTGTACTGTGTGTGTGTGTGTACTGTGTGTGTGTACTGTGTGTGTACTGTGTGTGTGTACTGTGTGTGTGATGTGTGTGTACTGTGTGTGTACTGTGTGTGTGTACTGTGTGTACTGTGTGTGTACTGTGTGTGTACTGTGTGTGTACTGTGTGTGTGTACTATGTACTGTGTGTGTGTACTGTGTGTGTGTACTGTGTGTGTGTACTATGTACTGTGTGTGTACTGTGTGATGTGCACTGTGTGTGTGTACTGTGTGTGTACTGTGTGTGTACTGTGTGATGTGTACTGTGTGTGTGTACTGTGTGTGTACTGTGTGTGTACTGTGTGTGTACTGTGTGTGTGTACTGTGTGTGTACTGTGTGTGTGTACTGTGTGTGTGTACTGTGTGTGTGTACTGTGTGTGTACTGTGTGATGTGTACTGTGTGATGTGTACTGTGTGTGTGTACTGTGTGATGTGTACTGTGTGTGTGTACTGTGTGTGTGTACTGTGTGTGTACTGTGTGTGTGTACTGTGTGATGTGTACTGTGTGTGTGTACTGTGTGATGTGTACTGTGTGTGTACTGTGTGTGTGTACTATGTACTGTGTGTGTACTGTGTGATGTGTACTGTGTGTGTGTACTGTGTGTGTACTGTGTGTGTGTACTGTGTGTGTACTGTGTGTGTGTACTGTGTGTGTACTGTGTGTGTGTACTGTGTGTGTGTACTGTGTGTGTACTGTGTGTGTACTGTGTGTGTGTACTGTGTGTGTACTGTGTGTGTGTACTGTGTGTGTACTGTGTGTGTGTACTGTGTGTGTGTACTGTGTGTGTACTGTGTGATGTGTACTGTGTGATGTGTACTGTGTGTGTGTACTGTGTGATGTGTACTGTGTGTGTGTACTGTGTGTGTGTACTGTGTGATGTGTACTGTGTGATGTGTACTGTGTGTGTGTACTGTGTGATGTGTACTGTGTGTGTGTACTGTGTGTGTGTACTGTGTGTGTACTGTGTGTGTACTGTGTGTGTGTACTGTGTGTACTGTGTGTACTGTGTGTGTGTACTGTGTGTACTGTGTGTGTACTATGTGTGTGTACTGTGTGTGTACTGTGTGTGTGTACTGTGTGTACTGTGTGATGTGTACTATGTGTGTGTACTGTGTGTGTGTACTGTGTGTGTACTGTGTGTGTGTACTGTGTGTGTGTACTGTGTGTGTGTACTGTGTGTGTGTACTGCAGGCAGATCACGCTGATTCCAGAGGAGGCTGAAGACATGTGGCACACCTACAACCTGGTGCAGCCTGGCGACAGTGTGAGGGCGTCCACCATCCGGTAGAGACTCTCACTGTGTCTCACTGTGTGTGTGTACCTGTGTGTGTGTGTCTGTGTGTGTGTGTCTGTGTCTCACTGTGTGTGTGTCTCACTGTGTGTCACTGTGTGTGTGTGTCTCACTGTGTGTCACTGTGTGTGTGTCTCACTGTGTGTCACTGTGTGTCTCTGTGTGTGTCTCACTGTGTGTGTGTCTCACTGTGTGTGTGTGTGTGTCTCACTGTATGTCACTGTGTGTCTCTGTGTGTGTCTCACTGTATGTGTGTCTCACTGTGTGTGTGTGTCTCACTGTGTGTCACTGTGTCTCACTTTGTGTGTGTGTGTGTCTCACTGTGTGTCACTGTGTGTGTGTCACTGTGTGTGTACCTGTGTGTGTGTCTCACTGTGTGTGTCTGTGTCTGTGTCTCACTGTGTGTGTGTGTGTCTCACTGTGTGTCACTGTGTCTCACTGTGTGTGTGTGTGTCTCACTGTGTGTAGCTGTGTGTGTGTCTCACTGTGTGTGTCTGTGTCTGTGTCTCACTGTGTGTGTCTGTGTCTATGTCTGTGTGTGTGTGTGTCTCACTGTGTGTCACTGTGTGTGTGTCACTGTGTGTGTACCTGTGTGTGTGTCTCACTGTGTGTGTCTGTGTCTGTGTCTCACTGTGTGTGTGTGTGTCTCACTGTGTGTCACTGTGTCTCACTGTGTGTGTGTGTGTGTGTCTCACTGTGTGTACCTGTGTGTGTGTCTCACTGTGTGTGTCTGTGTCTGTGTCTCACTGTGTGTGTCTGTGTCTATGTCTGTGTGTGTGTGTCTCACTGTGTGTCACTGTGTGTCTCTGTGTGTGTCTCACTGTGTGTGTGTCTCACTATGTGTGTGTCTCACTGTGTGTCACTGTGTGTGTGTCTCACTGTGTGTGTGTGTCTCACTGTGTGTGTGTCTCACTGTGTGTGTGTCTCACTGTGTGTGTGTCTCACTGTGTGTGTGTCTGTGTGTGTGTCACTGTGTGTGTGTCTCACTGTGTGTGTGTCTCACTGTGTGTGTGTCTCACTGTGTGTGTGTCTCACTGTGTGTGTGTGTGTGTCTCACTGTGTGTGTGTGTGTGTCTCACTGTGTGTGTGTGTCTCACTGTGTGTGTGTGTGTCTCACTGTGTGTGTGTCTCACTGTGTGTGTGTCTCACTGTGTGTGTCTCACTGTGTGTGTGTGTCTCACTGTGTGTGTGTGTGTGTCTCACTGTGTGTGTGTCTCACTGTGTGTGTGTCTCACTGTGTGTGTCTCACTGTGTGTGTGTGTCTCACTGTGTGTGTCTCACTGTGTGTGTGTGTCTCACTGTGTGTGTGTGTCTCACTGTGTGTGTCTCACTGTGTGTGTGTGTCTCACTGTGTGTGTGTCTCACTGTGTGTGTGTCTCACTGTGTGTGTGTCTCACTGTGTGTGTGTCTCACTGTGTGTGTCTCACTGTGTGTGTGTGTCTCACTGTGTGTGTGTGTCTCACTGTGTGTGTGTCTCACTGTGTGTGTGTCTCACTGTGTGTGTGTCTCACTGTGTGTGTGTATGTGTCTCACTGTGTGTGTGTCTCACTGTGTGTGTGTCTCACTGTGTGTGTGTCTCACTGTGTGTGTGTGTCTCACTGTGTGTGTGTGTCACTGTGTGTGTGTGTCACTGTGTGTGTGTGTGTCTCACTGTGTGTGTGTCTCACTGTGTGTGTGTGTGTCACTGTGTGTGTACCTGTGTGTGTCACTGTGTGTGTGTCTGTGTGTGTGTGTCTATGTCTGTGTGTGTGTCTATGTGTGTGTGTGTGTCTGTGTGTGTGTGTGTCTGTGTGTGTGTGTCTATGTGTGTGTGTGTGTCTGTGTGTGTGTGTGTCTGTGTGTGTGTCTGTGTGTGTGTCTGTGTCTCACTGTGTGTGTGTCTGTGTCTCACTGTGTGTGTGTCTCACTGTGTGTGTACCTGTGTGTGTCACTGTGTCTGTGTCTATGTCTGTGTGTCTATGTGTGTTTGTGTGTGTGTCTGTGTGTGTGTCTGTGTGTGTGTCTGTGTGTGTGTGTGTACCTGTGTGTGTCTCACTGTGTGTGTGTCTGTGTGTGTTTCACTGTGTGTGTCTGTGTGTCTCACTGTGTGTGTGTGTGTGTCACTGTGTGTCTGTGTGTGTGTGTGTCTGTGTGTGTGTCTGTGTGTGTGTGTACCTGTGTGTGTCTCACTGTGTGTGTGTCTGTGTTTGTGTGTGTCTCACTGTGTGTGTCTGTGTGTGTGTGTATCTGTGTGTCTCTGTGTGTCTCCGTGTGTCTCCCTGTGTCTCTCTGTGTTTCTCCGTGTGTCTCTCACCCTCCCTCACCCTCACCATCTCTCTCACCCTCACCATCTCCCTCCCTCACCCTCACCACCCTCACTCCGCTCACCCGCCCTCACCAGCAAGGTAACCACCGAGACGGTGACGGGCAGCGTGGGGAGCTCGCGAGTCCGCACGACGCTCACCTTGTGCGTCGAGTCCACCGACTTTGATGCCCACGGCTGCCTCCTGCGTGTCAAGGGCAAGAACATCCAGGAGAACGAGCACGTCAAGGTGAGGAGCAGCCGGCTCGCTCACCGGCTCGCTCACCGGCTCGCTCACCGGCTCGCACACCGGCTCGCTCACCGGCTCGCTCACCGGCTCGCTCGCCAACTCGCCGGCTCGCTCGCTCACCAACTCGCTCACCAACTCGCATACCAACTCGCTCACCAACTCACTCACCAACTCGCTCAGCCACTCACCAACTCGCTCACCAACTCGCTCACCAACTCGCTCACCCGCTCGCTCACCAACTCACTCACGAACTCGCTCGCCAACTCGCTCATCCGCTCGCTCACCAACTCGCTCACCAACACACTCACCAATACACTCACCAACTCGCTCACCAATTCGCACACCAACTCGCTCACCGGCTCGCTCACCAACTCACTCACCCATTCACTCACCAACTCGCTTACCAACTCGCTCGCCACCTCACTCACCAACTCGCTCAGCCACTCACCAACTCGCTCACCAACTCGCTTACCAACTCGCTCACCAACTCGCTCACCCGCTCGCTCACCAACTCACTCACGAACTCGCTCGCCAACTCGCTCACCCGCTCGCTCACCAACTCGCTCACCAACACACTCACCAATACACTCACCAACTCGCTCACCAATTCGCACACCAACTCGCTCACCAACTCGCTCACCAACTCGCTCACCCACTCGCTCAACAACTCACTCACCAACTCACTCACCAACTCGCTCAGCCACTCACCAACTCGCTCGCCAACTCGCTCACCAACTCGCTCACCCGCTCGCTCACCCGCTCGCTCACCCGCTCGCTCACCAACTCACTCACGAACTCGCTCGCCAACTCGCTCATCCGCTCGCTCACCAACTCGCTCACCAACACACTCACCAATACACTCACCAACTCGCTCACCAATTCGCACACCAACTCGCTCACCAACTCGCTCACCGGCTCGCTCACCCGCTCGCTCAACAACTCACTCACCAACTCACTCACCAACTCGCTCAGCCACTCACCAACTCGCTCGCCAACTCGCTCACCAACTCGCTCACCTGCTCGCTCACCAACTCACTCACGAACTCGCTCGCCAACTCGCTCACCCGCTCGCTCACCAACTCGCTCACCGACACACTCACCAATACACTCACCAACTCGCTCACCAATTCGCACACCAACTCGCTCACCGGCTCGCTCACCAACTCGCTCACCAACTCGCTTACCAACTCACTCACCAACTCACTCACCAATTCGCTCAGCCACTCACCAACTCGCTCGCCAACTCGCTCAACAACTCGCTCGCCAACTCGCTCACCCGCTCACTCACCAACTCACTCACCAACACACTCACCAATACACTCACCAACTCGCTCACCAATTCGCACACCAACTCGCTCACCAACTCGCTCACCAACTCGCTCACCCGCTCGCTCAACAACTCACTCACCAACTCGCTCGCCAACTCGCTCACCAACTCGCTCACCAGCTCGCTCACCCGCTCGCTCACCAACTCGCTCACCAACTCGCTCACCCGCTCGCTCACCAACTCGCTCACCCGCTCGCTCACCAATTTGCTCACCAACTCGCTCACCCGCTCGCTCACCAACTCGCTCACCAACTCGCTCACCCGCTCGCTCACCAACTCACTCACCAACTCGCTCGCCAACTCGCTCACCAACTCGCTCACCAACTCGCTCACCCGCTCGCTCACCAATTTGCTCACCAACTCGCTCACCCGCTCGCTCACCAACTCGCTCGCCCACTCGCTCACCAACTCGCTCACCAACTCACCAAATTTTTGAAGGTGGAGGGGTTACCAGCCCCTCGCACCCATCCAGAGCCCCCGTTTAGCCACTGTGGTGGTCACAGACGCCATGAGGGGAGGAGCCAATCGGAATTGGCCCTCCCCCCACAGCACTGTCCACGACAGAGTTGCCCGTCCGGCACCGCGAGGAGGTAGGGGGTTGTTTTGCCGGACACAGACACACACACACATAGACACACACACACATAGACACACACACAGACACACACACACATAGACACACACACACACACATAGACACACACACACAGACACACACACATAGACACAACAACAACAACCGCCATTCGCCACTAAGTGGCGGTGACGTCACCACGACGCTTGTGCCAGGCTATGTGCACCCTGAGGCCACGTGAAGTGTCAAACGCCCGCTGGCAGGATGTCACGTGGCAGACCCAGGTGCCACGGGTCGACTGACTGAGATGACTGGCTGATGCACCACCTGTGCCCCCTACTGTGCCAACCTGCTGTGCTTTAGCCACCCGGCGCTCCGCTCGTTGTTATGAGCGTCGCTCCTCCGCCCTCCGTTGTTGTTGGAGGGCGACTGCCTCCAACTACCCAGTAGCATCCTTCACGAGCCTCCTCCACAGAGGCCGATCTTGACACCGCTGGTACCAGTCATCGGCAAGTCCACTCAGCTCCACGTCCTCCTGTACCACATCACTCCATCTCTTCTCTAGCTCGTGCCGCGCCCGCTTAGCCGCCTCAATCCGGCCGAACAAAAGCTGTTTCAGCATGCGGTGGCTGGGCATGCGGGCTACATGACCCAGCCAACGTAGCCTTGCCTGCCGGAGGAGCTCACCGATGGGACCCTGCCCAGATCTTTCAAGGATTTGTGAGCTCCTCACACAATCCAGCCTGGTTAAACCCAGGATGGATTCCCCCGGTACAGCTATTGAATGAGCAGCTATTACCAAATCATCGGCATACATAACGTGGTTGAGCAATAGGGAGCCATCCCTTGACCGCACCCGGGCATCGATCAGCCTCCCATTATATCTGTACCAATATGGAGATTCCCCCGGTACAGCTATTGAAGGCTTCACGAACTACGTGGTCAAAATAGATGTTAAATAATGTGGGAGCCAGAGGACATCCCTGTCGCACCCCAAGGTGTACAGGGAATGGCTCTGACTCCCGGCCACGTAGTTTTACCCGGGCCCGCTCACCATCTCAGTCAGTCGACCCGTGGCACCTGGGTCTGCCCCGTGATCTGCCAGCGGGCGTTCGACACTTCACCTGGCCTCAGGGTGCACATAGCCTGGCACAAGCGTCGTGGTGACGTCACCGCCACTTAGTGGCGAATGGCGGTTGTTGTTGTTGTATCTATGTGTGTGTGTGTGTCTGTGTGTCTGTGTGTGTGTGTCTATGTGTGTGTGTGTCTATGTGTGTGTGTGTCTATGTGTGTGTGTGTGTCTATGTGTGTGTGTGTGTCTATGTGTGTGTGTCTGTGTGTGTGTCTATGTGTGTGTGTGTCTATGTGTGTGTGTGTCTATGTGTGTGTGTCTATGTGTGTGTGTCTATGTGTGTGTCTGTGTGTGTCTATGTGTGTGTGTCTATGTGTGTGTGTCTATGTGTGTGTGTGTCTATGTGTGTGTGTGTCTATGTGTGTGTGTGTGTGTCTATGTGTGTGTGTGTCTATGTGTGTGTGTGTCTATGTGTGTGTGTGTCTATGTGTGTGTGTGTCTATGTGTGTGTGTGTATGTGTGTGTTTCTATGTGTGTGTCTGTGTGTGTGTCTATGTGTGTGTGTCTATGTGTGTTTCTATGTGTGTGTGTGTGTCTATGTGTGTGTGTCTATGTGTGTGTGTCTATGTGTGTGTGTCTATGTGTGTGTGTGTCTATGTGTGTGTGTCTATGTGTGTGTGTGTCTATGTGTGTGTGTGTGTCTATGTGTGTGTGTCTATGTGTGTGTGTCTATGTGTGTGTGTGTGTCTTTGTGTGTGTGTGTCTATGTGTGTGTGTGTCTATGTGTGTGTGTGTCTATGTGTGTGTGTCTATGTGTGTGTCTATGTGTGTGTGTCTATGTGTGTGTGTCTATGTGTGTGTGTCTATGTGTGTGTCTATGTGTCTATGTGTGTGTGTGTCTATGTGTGTGTGTCTATGTGTGTGTGTGTGTCTATGTGTGTGTGTCTATGTGTGTGTGTCTATGTGTGTGTGTCTATGTGTGTGTCTATGTGTCTATGTGTGTGTGTGTCTATGTGTGTGTGTCTATGTGTGTGTGTGTGTGTCTATGTGTGTGTGTCTATGTGTGTGTGTGTCTATGTGTGTGTGTGTGTCTGTGTGTGTGTGTGTCTATGTGTGTGTGTGTCTGTGTGTGTGTCTATGTGTGTGTGTGTATGTGTGTGTGTGTGTCTATGTGTGTGTGTCTATGTGTGTGTGTGTGTCTATGTAGATGGGCGCCTACCACACCATTGAACTGGAACAGAACCGCAAGTTCACGCTCGCCAAGAAGCACTGGGATAGCGTCACACTGGACAGAGTTGGTGGGTGGGGGTGTGGGGGTGGGTGGGGGTGGGTGGGGGTGTGGGGGTGGGTGGGGGTGGGTGGGGGTGGGTGGGGGTGTGGGGGTGGGTGGGGGTGGGTGGGGGTGTGGGGGTGGGTGGGGGTGGTTGGGGGTGGGTGGGGGTGGTTAGGTTAGGTTAGTGAGTGACTGAGTGGATGAGTGAGTGGATGAGTGAGTGAGTGAGTGGATGAGTGAGTGGATGAGTGAGTGAGTGAGTGGATGAGTGAGTGAGTGGATGAGTGAGTGAGTGGATAAGTGAGTGAGTGGATGAGTGAGTGGATGAGTGAGTGAGTGGATGAATGAGTGAGTGGATGAGTGAGTGAGTGGATGAGTGAGTGGATGGATGAATGAGTGAGTGGGTGAGTGAGTGAGTGGATGAGTGAGTGAGTGAGTGGATGAATGAGTGAGTGGATGAGTGAGTGAGTGGATGAGGGAATGAGTGGATGAGTGAGTGGATGAGTGAGTGGATGAATGAGTGAGTGGATGAGTGAGTGAGTGAGTGGATGAGGGAATGAGTGGATGAGTGAGTGGATGAGTGAGTGAGTGGATGAGTGAGTGAGTGGATGAATGAGTGAGTGGATGAGTGAGTGAGTGGATAAGTGAGTGAGTGGATGAGTGAGTGAGTGGATGAATGAGTGAGTGGATGAGTGAGTGAGTGGATGAGTGAGTGAGTGGATGAGTGAGTGGATGAATGAGTGAGTGAGTGGATGAGTGAGTGAGTGGATGAGTGAGTGAGTGAGTAGATGAGTGAGTGGATGAGTGAGTGGATGAGTGAGTGAGTGGATGAATGAGTGAGTGAGTGGATGAGTGAGTGAGTGGATGAGTGAGTGAGTGGATGAGTGAGTGGATGAGTGAGTGAGTGGATGAGTGAGTGGATGAGTGAGTGAGTGGATGAGTGAGGTAGTGGATGAGTGAGTGAGTGGATGAGTGAGTGAGTAAGTGGATGAGTGAGTGAGTGGATGAGTGAGTGAGTAGATGAGTGAGTGAGTGGATGAGTGAGGTAGTGGATGAGTGAGTGGATGAATGAGTGAGTGAGTGGATGAGTGAGTGAGTGGATGAGTGAGTGAGTGAGTAGATGAGTGAGTGGATGAGTGAGTGGATGAGTGAGTGAGTGGATGAATGAGTGAGTGAGTGGATGAGTGAGTGAGTGGATGAGTGAGTGAGTGGATGAGTGAGTGGATGAGTGAGTGAGTGGATGAGTGAGTGGATGAGTGAGTGAGTGGATGAGTGAGGTAGTGGATGAGTGAGTGAGTGGATGAGTGAGTGAGTAAGTGGATGAGTGAGTGAGTGGATGAGTGAGTGAGTAGATGAGTGAGTGAGTGGATGAGTGAGGTAGTGGATGAGTGAGTGGATGAATGAGTGAGTGAGTGGGTGGATGAATGAGTGAGTGGGTGAGTGAGTCTCTCCATGTCTCTCCCCGTGTCTCTCCCCCCGTGTCTCTCCCCCCGTGTCTCTCCCCGTGTCTCTCCCCGTGTCTCTCTGCGTATGTCTCTCTCCCGTGTCTCTCTGCGTGTGTCTGTGTAGACGAGGCTTGTGATCCAGCCCGTGCCGCCGATGTGGGTGCCGTGGTGATGCAGGAGGGCCTGGCCCACGTCTGCCTCCTGACGCCAGCCATGACGGCCTTGCGCTGCAAGGTGGAGCACAGCATACCGAGAAAACGTCGTGGTAGCTGTGCACAGCACGACAAGGTACACACAGACAGACACAGACACACACAGACACACACACACACAGCATACCGAGAAAACGTCGTGGTAGCTGTGCACAGCACGACAAGGTGTACACACACACAGACACACACACACACAGACACACACACAGACACACACACAGACACACACACAGACACACACAGACACAGACACACACACACACAGACACACACACACACAGACACACACACACACACACAGACACACAGATACACACACACAGACACACACAGCATACCGAGAAAACGTCGTGGTAGCTGTGCACAGCACGACAAGGTACACACACACACACAGACACACACACAGATACACACACACAGACACACACACAGACACACACACACACACACAGACACACACACACACAGACACACACACACAGACACACACACAGATACACACAGCATACCGAGAAAACGTCGTGGTAGCTGTGCACAGCACGACAAGGTACACACACACACACAGACACACACACAGATACACACACACAGACACACACACAGACACACACACACACACAGAGACACACACACAGACACACACACACAGACACACACACAGATACACACAGCATACCGAGAAAACGTCGTGGTAGCTGTGCACAGCACGACAAGGTGTACACACACACACACAGATACACAGATACACACACACACACACAGACACACACACAGACACACACACACAGACACACACAGCATACCGAGAAAACGTCGTGGTAGCTGTGCACAGCACGACAAGGTACACACAGACACAGACAGACACACACACACAGATACACACAGACACACAGTCACACACACACAGATACACACACACAGACACACACACACACACAGACACACACACAGACACACACACACACACAGACACACACACACACAGACACACACAGCATACCGAGAAAACGTCGTGGTAGCTGTGCACAGCACGACAAGGTACACACACACACACAGACACACACACAGACACACACACACACACAGACACACACACAGACACACACAGCATACCGAGAAAACGTCGTGGTAGCTGTGCACAGCACGACAAGGTACACACACACACAGACACACACACACACACACAGACACACACACACAGATACACACACACACACAGATACACACACACACACAGATACACACACAGATACACACACAGACACACACACACACAGACACACAGATACACACAGATACACACACAGATACACACACAGATACACACACACACACAGCATACCGAGAAAACGTCGTGGTAGCTGTGCACAGCACGACAAGGTACACACACACACACAGATACACAGATACACACACACACACACAGATACACACAGACACACACAGCATACCGAGAAAACGTCGTGGTAGCTGTGCACAGCACGACAAGGTACACACACACACAGACACACACACACACACAGACACACACAGATACGCACACACATAGATACACACACATACACACAGACACACACAGATACACAGATACACACACACACAGACATACACACACACACAGCATACCGAGAAAACGTCGTGGTAGCTGTGCACAGCACGACAAGGTACACACACACACAGACACACACACACACACAGATACACACAGACACACACACAGACACACACACATATACACACAGCATACCGAGAAAACGTCGTGGTAGCTGTGCACAGCACAAGGTACACACACACACAGATACACACACAGACACACACACACACACAGATACACACAGACACACACACAGACACACACAGCATACCGAGAAAACGTCGTGGTAGCTGTGCACAGCACGACAAGGTACACACACACACACAGATACACAGATACACACACACACAGACATACACACACACAGCATACCGAGAAAACGTCGTGGTAGCTGTGCACAGCACGACAAGGTACACACATACACAGACACACACACAGATACACACATACAGACACACACACAGACACACACAGCATACCGAGAAAACGTCGTAGTAGCTGTGCACAGCACGACAAGGTACACACACACACACAGATACACAGATACACACACACACAGACATACACACACACAGCATACCGAGAAAACGTCGTGGTAGCTGTGCACAGCACGACAAGGTACACACACACACAGACACACACACACAGATACACACAGACACACACACAGACACACACACATATACACACAGCATACCGAGAAAACGTCGTGGTAGCTGTGCACAGCACAAGGTACACACACACACAGATACACACACAGACACACACACACAGATACACACAGACACACACACAGACACACACAGACACACAGCATACCGAGAAAACGTCGTGGTAGCTGTGCACAGCACGACAAGGTACACACACACACACAGATACACAGATACACACACACACAGACATACACACACACAGCATACCGAGAAAACGTCGTGGTAGCTGTGCACAGCACGACAAGGTACACACACACAGACAGATACACACACACAGTGTGACACACACACACAGACACACACAGACACAGATACACACACACACAGATACAGACACACACACACACACAGACACACACACAGATACACACACAGACACACACACATAGATACACACACAGACACACACAGCATACCGAGAAAACGTCGTGGTAGCTGTGCACAGCACGACAAGGTACACACACACACACACAGACACACACACAGATACACACACACAGACACACACACAGACACACACAGCATACCGAGAAAACGTCGTGGTAGCTGTGCACAGCACGACAAGGTACACACACACACACACAGACACACACACAGATACACACACACAGACACACACACAGACACACACACACACACAGACACACACACACACAGACACACACACACAGACACACACACAGATACACACAGCATACCGAGAAAACGTCGTGGTAGCTGTGCACAGCACGACAAGGTGTACACACACACACACAGATACACAGATACACACACACACACAGACACACACACACACACAGACACACACACACAGACACACACAGCATACCGAGAAAACGTCGTGGTAGCTGTGCACAGCACGACAAGGTACACACAGACACAGACAGACACACACACACAGATACACACAGACACACAGTCACACACACACAGATACACACACACAGACACACACACACACACAGACACACACACAGACACACACACACACACAGACACACACACACACAGACACACACAGCATACCGAGAAAACGTCGTGGTAGCTGTGCACAGCACGACAAGGTACACACACACACACAGACACACACACAGACACACACACACACACAGACACACACACAGACACACACAGCATACCGAGAAAACGTCGTGGTAGCTGTGCACAGCACGACAAGGTACACAGACACACACACACACACACAGACACACACACACAGATACAC